ATTTTGGGAAAATTCATGAATTTCTTTTAATGCGTCAAGAAACCACCTGTAAAATTTCAGAACCAAATACCTTCAGTAGTATCTAGTGGACTCTATTGAACGGTGAGTCCTCAAACAATCTGTTTTTCTTGATCACTTTGTTCGAAGGTGTTATTGATCTCCAAATATTCTGATTTTTTGTGTAAATGATATTCAATATATGAAGTTGCAATCTGGAAATTTTCACCACGAAATTCCTCCTGTAGAATTTTCAAGAAATTCGACAAGATCCTAGACCGAATCTGCCGATGAAACTTGAAGAACTTGTTCGAAGGTGTTATTGATCTCCAAATATTCTGATTTTTTGTGTAAATGATATTCAATATATGAAGTTGCAATCTGGAAATTTTCACCACGAAATTCCTCCTGTAGAATTTTCAAGAAATTCGACAAGATCCTAGACCGAATCTGCCGATGAAACTTGAAGAACGTATTTGAAGACTCTAATAAACTTTGATTTGGGTTAATTTTGGACTGGAGATTTATATTAGGATGAATATGATATCTGGAGAAAATCAGCCCTAAATACCTTCGTTTGCAAATTTTTGAAATTTTGGCTTTTTGGTTTTTTTTTTTGCCTTTTTTTGTTTATTTTGTTTTTTTGGAAAAATAGCAAACTAACAAGAAAGATTTGAATCTAAATTAAAATTAAATAAAAAGAACCTGAAACGATGAATCTTTTCTGGACTAACTCCGTTGGGATACCTTGACGGTTTTGTATGCAAGAATAAGCAAGATTGCTTGCTTCTTTCCAAGAATTGGACATATCAATTGGTATCAGATTTGGGCCGATTCTTGGAAAGAAGCAAGCAATCTTGCTTGTTCTTGCACACAAAACTGTCAAGGTATCCCAACGGAGCTAGTCCAGAAAAGATTCATCGTTTCAGGTTCTTTTTATTTAATTTTAATTTAGATTCAAATCCTTCTTGTTAGTTTGTTATTTTTTTTAAAAACAAAAAAACCAAAAAAAAAGCCAAAATTTTAAAAAAAAAATTGAAAACGAAGGTATTTAGGGCTTATTTTCTTCATATATCATATTCATCCTAATATAAATCTCCAGTCCAAAATTCACCCAAATCGGAGTTCATTAGAGCCTTCAAATACATTCTTCAAGTTTCATCGGCAGATTCGGTCTAGGATCTTGTCGAATTTCTTGAAAATTCTACAGGAGTAATTTCGTGGTAAAAATTTCCAGATTAAAACTTCATATATTAAAGATCATTTACAAAAAAATCAGAATATTTGGAGATCAAGAACACCTTCGAACAAAGCGATCAAGAAAAATAGATTGTTTGAGGACTCACCGTTCAATAGAGTCCACTGGATACTACTGAAGATATTTGGTTCTGCAATTTTACAGGTGGTTTCTTGACGCATCAAAAGATATTCAAGAATTTTCCCAAAATATTTGGACACCGGTAACCCCCTCAAAAACGTTTCTCAAGTTGATCCAGCGTTTTCTAGGTTTCTGGGTTGGTTCTTTTTTTTTTCTTTGACTCTTAGTGCTTTAAGTTCTTTTCTTTTTTCTTTTAAATGTTCTTTTGCATTATCTAACACATTATCTTTCTTGTGTTAGTAGGATTAAAGAGTTTTCATACTTCTTCCTTCCTTGCATTCTCGTTCTCTTGGAGTCTAACCCTTGTTTGGCCTCTTAGAACTTTTAGGTTTTTTTATCGCCTTTGCTAGTAATCAAACTCCGATACGAATTGTGGAAGACTACTTGGTAAAGTGAGTTTTAAATAGTACAAGATTGGCTTACTTGCCTCTCGTTGTGTTACTTTATTGGAGTGACTTGTGAGGTTTCTTGTTTTGTTGAATTTTCTTTCTTTTATTTTTATTTTACTTAAAAAATTTCTTTCGAGTGTTATGATTTAAGGATGGACGACAATAACAACAAGACACTTACGGCTATCTTAGCCGCACTTGCCTGACTCACGACTCAAGTTGAAAGATTTGATGAAATCGTGAGAGAACGATAAGAACCACAACTGGATCTACCAAACCAGAATCCAAAACCAAACAATGCTAAACTTTTGGTACCCGGGCAAAAACAACCACGTTTCCAAGCACCCAAACTCTTTGCAAAATCAAAGTTCACGATCATGTCTTTCAAAGGAGACAATGATCCAAACAGGTACATCGAATGGGAAGGAAAAGTTGATCTCATGTTCGTATACCATGACTGCCCCCAAGCTAAACAAATTTACCTCATCACCATGCAATTTGAAGGATATGCTCGAACTTGGTGGATGCAAACAAGGAAAAAGATCCAGAACTTCCAAATTCCAACAATCACTTCTTGGACCGACCTCAAACAAACCATGAGGAAGCAATTCCTATCGACACATTATACACGAGAAGTTAAAATACGACTACACCAACTTCGACAAGGTAGAAGTTCAGTTGAAGAGTACTATAAGGAGATGCAGTCCTTACTCAATAGGGCTAACATAACCGAAAAAGAAGAGGTCACCGTGTCAAGATTCATCGTAGGCTTAAACTCAAACATCACTGATCTTCTTGACCTACAAGGTTACGAAAACCTTGAAGATACACTAAAGAAAGCAATGACAATCGAAGCACAAATCCAAAGGAGATCTCGATTCAGTGAACATTACCAAGGTACTTCATCCTCTTACCAAGGTAATCCTTCAAATCCTTCCTCATCTTCTACTCCATCTTCTCTGAAAAAGTCAAGATATGACAAACTTGACAAGGAAAAAGAACGACCAGCAAAGAATGACACACTTTCAGTCCCTAAAGATCAAATGATAATTTGTGAGGAGGTAGGGAAAGCAAAAAAAGAAAAAGTTGAGAAAGAGGCAAAAACAAAAGAGGTCACTAGTTACAAAATCCAAAAGAATAATGACCCATGGGAGGTGAGTGAACCTAAATGTGAGAAGAAAAGAGTGACTCAAAATCTATGTGTGAGCACAAAAGAATTGAGAGATAATCTTCTTTACAAACATCCTTGCATCCTTGTTCGCTTTAGGGAATCAATTGTTTCGATTTCTAACATTAACAAGGATTTGCCTAGTGTGTTTTCATCTCTTTTACAGGATTTTCGAGAAGTGTTAGGTGATCTACCTAACAAACTACCACTGAAAAGAGGAAAACAATGTCAAACCAATCTAATTAAAGGTTCCATCATACCTCGTCAAACATACAATCTCGAAGAAATCAAAGAGTTGGATTTGTTACAAAAAGGCTACATCCAGGAAAGCCTTAGTCGTGACGCCATCTTAATGACGAAACATGATTTGAACAACTCTACAGGCTTTATAGTTCGTGCACATGAAATCCATGTAAATGATGAAATAGTAAAAGAAACACAAGACTGGCCCACACCATCTTCCATAGCCAAGAGTTGTCGAATAATATTAAGTGACCCTCCTAACGGTTACCACCTTTTACCATTTTTTTAAATACAATTTTTTAACCTTTTTAAAAAATTTTAAATTATTGATATGTTTTATTTCACACTAATATTTTTATTATTTTTAGGATAATTTTAATCGATCAAAGGTAAGTAGTTCGAATCGAATCTTTAAATTTCAATTTAACTTTTAATTTTCGTAATTAAGACAACCGAAAAATTAAATTAATACCGAAAGGGCAGTACAAGAGTTTTAATCCTTCTTTGACTATAACCGACTCCCGAACCCGATATATTTCTGGTAAAATACAAATCAGGTAAGATGATAAATTGAGGTGTCCGATCAACCTAATTTTTTTTAAAAGAATATAAATTATCGATGACGGCTCTTGCATGTTTTTATTTAAGTCGAAGCCTAATTTCGGGTTCATCCGAAGGACGGTTACGACAGTTACTTTCTTGTTCGACGGAGGAAGCTTCTGGACCCGTTGATTTTACAGCAAGAATTGGTCTCAACTTGGGTGGCCGTACTTACTTCTCCACCGAGGATGACTTTGTGAACCAGCTTTATCACAGGTCCAGGCCGGGAGATCTCAGCTCAACCAATTCCCCAAGGTGTAAAGCCGAGGTTGCAATGCTGATCTTACCCATTCTAAGCACTACCATCGCCGCCATAAAGTCTGCTAGTTCCATTCCAAAGCTTCCACCGTCATTGCAGCTGGGTTGACTCAACGATTCTTCCAGCAGTGTAGCGGTTTGAAGAATTAAAAAAAAAAACATTTCTCATTTGGGGAGTAATAAATCATTTTAGTGTTCATAAGCTCTCTAGGGATGAGGATTGTGATGGTTTCGAAATGACGGTAACAGTCTGTGATGGCCAATTATTGCCCACTCCTTATATGGGGTGATCCCGAGGGTATTTCTGTCCGTGAGAGCTCCATGTTCTTTCCGTTTTAAATTATTTGAGTTAAAGTATCTTCTTTTAAACTCGAAGTTAACTTAATTTTTTTTAGTTCGAGTTAAATTTTTGAATTTCTGTTTAAATTTAATTATAAATATTTATAATTTTATGACATTATTTGATATCAATTTAAATGGTTTTTTTATAACCATATACAATACATATATATTTTTTCATATTTTTTTCATATGTGCTATCATATACCATACATAATTGAGAGACTCGACTCAAACTTAAAAATTAATTCATTAATTACTTAAAATTTTGAGTTATTCGAGTTATTTGAATTGTATTTTATAATTCGATTTGAGTTTGAATTTTTTTTCGATTTTATGAAGTTACAACTCAATCAATTTAAATCGAATTTTTTCAAATAGCATTGAGTCAAAAAATCAAATTTTCAAGTCGAGTTTTATATAACCCTAGTTTGTTAGGGTTTACTTTTGCTACTTATAGTAGGGTATTGGTATTAACTAGTAAAAGACTTAGTGTTAAATTACGGGGAAACCCTTCACATGCTCTCATATTTTCAATACGTTCTCTAATGTTTCTGCTTCTTCCATTCTTTTACTGTGGATATGGATGAAGATTAGTATGGTTGCGTTGGCTTGGCTTCTCTTAGTTTTTCATTAACGTTAGGATTCTTAGAACTCTCGACAGATTCCATCAGCTGTCGGAATTCGACAATGGAAAGCGTAGCTGTCGGAAGAGATTGGCCAACCACAATCGACGACGGCGAAAATATCAACAACAACCTAGTGCTCAAGAAAACCAGAACACATCCCCCATGAAAATGGTCGCAATCCCTCATCTGATAATACACCAAGTAGGTCATTTAAAAAAATTATCAGAATTTGTCATAATAATTTTTTTGGAGATTGATAATTAGTTCTTAGTTTGAAGTTTGAAAAAAAATCTACTTGTAATTTGTTTGGTGATGATCATAGGGTCCCCGCCGGATTCTGGGTTTCAGTCTTCTTCTTCAGTAACGGTGGCAGTTTCGCCGCCGCAAATGTGATCTGATTGTATGATGCATCATCATCGTCATCAGGCACACTTTTCTTTTTCTCAACTGGGTAATCGCTAACAAGTAATTCCATTGATCCTAACACTATATATATATATATATATGTATATTATCCCTGAAGTTTCAATATTGTTTTAACATCGATTGGTGTTAGGTTGTACTAACATCAAGAAAATTTTGAGTAATGGAACATGTAATATATATTAATTGTTATTCTGCTGCAAAGATAATTGGTTTGCAGGTCTACTTCTTACATTTTGGGAATGGTATTATTATCCTTTTGTCTGGTTAATGGAATTTTCCCGGAAAATGTACAAGCAAAGAAAAAGTATAGAAGTAGCCCACGTGGTACGAATTTTCTAGGAAAATTCAAAGTTGGGGGGTAGATTGGAGATGAAACGATCAAGTTGTCTCATCCATGGAGGCCAACCGTACCAAAACCGAGTTATCATTAAAAAGAATCAATATGATGTTTGAAAGATCATCATCACCATTCATCATTGTATGGCTATAGTTTTGTTATAACTTTTGGTTAAAGATGTCTTGTATTAACGGTGGATTTAGAAATAATTTTCAGATTAAACACATATGTATTAATAATCAAAAAAATTATAGCAGACATAAATAAAATTCTTAAGTAATCGACATCAATAAAATAGATAATTAATTAAAAAAAATTGAATTTTAAAATAAAATATACACACACGGACGTAGACATACATCCACAACTACGGGAGACAAAATATCAGTTTACTCAATCTCATCTCAACCTTGTGCTGATAAATGAATGGCTTCCTTCAACTCAATCCAAATCGGTCCTACCTCGTTCTATATTCTAAAGCTCCGTCCACATTGTTTTAATAGAAGTCGTTAGTTTTATTAAAAAGTGAATATTTAATATTACAATAAGAGTTTATGATTATTATCGTAAACTAAATATATAATTTGGACATTGTCCTATAACATTAAAATTAGCCACTTTATATCCTAAAAGGATATACATGGAAAAGGTTAAAAACCTAACCAAAATACCCGAACAAAAAATTGATACAAGCAAATCTTACTGCATCGACAAACGAACCACAAGAGGGGATTAAGCTATTGAAAGATCACTGAAAACTGCAAATCAGAGCCGAGCGTCGTGAGAAACTATACACGATCGCAAAATAGCGTATCCAAATTCAATCCAAGGGTCCATAGCAGGGAATATCAACTGGATTACAAATAAGCGTCATCTTGATCAGTCGTGACATCGTGAAATGCAACCCTTGAGAAAACATAAAATAAAAAGAATAGCTAAACGACTGAAAAACGTGTCATAAAAGCAGAGAAAAACGTGTCATAAAGAAGAGATAAACATGTCACAAAGAAGAGATAAAATGTCACAAAGATATAATTATTCTCATAAAAACAACAACAACAACAAAAGAGAGAAGAGAACCGACGGTCGGCAACCAACATAAAAAACATTATCATCGTCGGCTAAACAAGATCAAAGAAGAAAAAGTTGATATGATCTATAAAAACCGGTATAAACTCTAAAAAAGAAGAAAAGATTATAAAACCGGTGCCGCCTCGTCAACATTTGTTTTATAGAAACTTAGGAGCGGAAAATAACTAAAACAATATTAATATAAAATAAGACACATGTAAGATATGAAATTTAATGTGATTTAATTTTATTTATCACCACATATAAGAAGAAAAATAATTCATTATAGATATGAAGATCACAAAGAGTATAAATATATAATATTTTATGTATTCCAAAACTTTATATATATATACATACTAAAAATCGATGTATACTTGTGTAACTATGGGGTCCACAGTTGTTCGTCTTAGGTCTCCCATTGCATAACTATGTTTTTTTCTTCTCTTTGTTGTATTGAAGTGCAATCTGTAAGGGTCGGTCAATTTAATCCCACTCTTTTATTTATGTATTCGTGAATTTTCTATCGTTAATATATCTAGGGACTCTTTCTCCCCATAAGATTTAGAAGAAGTTTTTAACAATGTTCATTATTTAAAAAAATTTGATGTATCTTTAAATATCCTCTCAACGTCTTTGTAAAACACATATATGTAACGTAAACCTAAAAAATTATAAAGAGTATAAAAGGATTATACCTCTCCAAAATAATTATCTCTCGCAATCTTAAAAACTAAAACATTTTCTATTTAAAGAGCCAAATATTTGGTCACTAAAAATCTTTATTACATTAGAATTGTCAACTAAATAAATTTAATCACCAAAATAATTTTTTTGAATGTATTATTAGTATTTGAACTGGTAAAATTATAATAAAATCAAAATTATGATTATAGTTAGAATTTAAGTGAATATTTAATGGTGTTAATTTCTTACAGTTAAGTATTACGATTCGAAATTTTGATATTTGTGTTCGATTCCTCAAGGTATTTTATTGTCCTAACAGAAAATTTGATTATGAGGCATTTATTCTTTGTGATGTCAAGTGCTGCAAGTAGGGGTGTTCAATCGATCGCTTCGGATAATAGACCAAACCGAAGTATCCAAATTTCATTAATTGCTTTTTTTTTCTTTTAACCTTTAATCGAATTGAATATTTTTCGAAAATGTTTAATCTAAACCTAACAAAATTCGGTTAATTCGGTCAGTTAACCGATTAACCAAAATTTATTATAAAATAACATTTTATTTATTTTTAGGGGTTTAAGTTATTTGGGTTTTTAATATTTAATGAGTCTTTAATGGGTTTAAGTTAATTGGTTAAACAAGTTGGGTTGTAATGGTTTTTGATTGGGGTAGATTAGGCAAAATATATATATATAAATAATATATATAATATTTAATAATTTCAGTTAATTCTGTTAATTAATCGAATTTAAACCGAATTAACCGATAATCAAACTTAAAAAAAATATTAACCATTAACCGACCAAACATAAAATTAACCAATCGATTAATAAAAAAAATATTGATTCGGTCGGTTTAATCGATTAACCTAAATTTTAAACACCCCTAACTACAAGTAGACACAAGAACCATAAAAGGTGGTGTCAAGTCAATAATTTAAATATAAATAATTTTATAATATGAAAAGCTTTGATATATCCTCTGAAACAAATGGTTGAATGTTGAGTGGTACAAAATTAAACAATAAAATTTGTTAACGGTCAAGAACAAATATCTTTATTAGTCAATCAGTCACCATATTACATTATTGTGAGATTTTTTTTTTTTTTTTTGTAAATCAGGCTTAATTTCAGAAAAAAAAAAAGATATGGTTTTTACCAATAGGAGAAGACTACTAAGGGGATGTTTGGATCAAAGAATGTTAGATTTTCATAAAAAAAAATCCACATTCTCATGTTTGGTTGGCCGGGAATCTCATTCCCGGTAATTTTTTATTATCAATAGTATATTTTTTGGGGTATAATACCGGGAATGTCATTACATCCCTTTCCTTAGGTATTGTTGGATTACCGACGTTTTGAACTAAAACGCCCTTAATTTTTTTTTCTTTCAAAAATATCATTCTTCTGTCATTGAATAATAAAAATTCTACGAATGTTAAATTACAAATTTATCCTTAAACTATTTTAGATTTACAAAAAAAATCTATAATTAAAATTTTATATGAAGTTCATGGGTTAAAATAAAAGTTTACCATTTCATTAAACCTTTTTATATTTTCAATTTTGTAAATATATATATATATATATATATATTTTATGAATTTATTTTTTTTAAAGAAAATATATAAATATTTTCCAACTTGTTAAAAAATAAATATATAATAAGGACAATTTGATCAAATATACATTTCAATAATCTTTTATTCCTTTAACCAAAAACGGTAATCTTACATTCTTGCTAAACCAACCAAACACAAAATACAATATTTCTAGTAATTTTATTCCCTGGTAATCTTACAATCCCACTAGTAATCTTATATTCCGTGAACCAAACGCACCCTGAAGTCTATACTCGAAACAATGAGTGGGTCCATATCTCTTAAAGACTATGGTGGCCATTTTGAGTATCCCTTTAATTGTTTTTTCTCTTTGATAATATAGGATAAACTGCATCCATAGTCATTTAAATATCAATGAATTTTTATTTTGATCATTAAAGTTATCAAAAATCACAAAATGATCACCAACTCTCGTTAGGTTGATGGCCCCTAATCTATAACTAATATTTCAATTTAGTTCTTAAACATTTTTTAACTATACTTTTTTTGAAAAAAAATCTAAAATCTATTATAATTGGTATAATAACAGATATCCCTTTAACCTTTACATATTGTACCATGTTAGCTTTGATTCTAAAAAGTTACAGATCTAAATTATATAAAATAATCAAACAAAATAAAACAGATTTGTTTTATTTATTGTCCATGAAGAAGATAAAACAAAATCAAGCAAAATCAAAAATAAAAAAGTAAAACAAAATAATTTAGTGTCCATGAAGAAGATAAAATCCTAATATAGTTGGTAGAATTTGATGATTTTATTTTATTTATTTTTTATTTAATTGATTAAAAATCTACTTTTTTTACTAAAGTTTGTATTTTCAATCAATTTATTTTATCCAAGTTAATTTTTAATTTTTACATTTTTTTCTTTTATTAATGATTTGTTTGGATGTTTTAGAATTAGGATCACCGTATTTTAGAAAGTTTTTTAGATTTTTTTAAAAATATAATTAATAAATTTATTAAATGATTAAATTAAAGTTTTTGTTATAATTTAAGAGTCAAATTAGATATTAGTCTCATTTTTTACCACACTACATCATCAACTTAGAAGGAGCTACCGATAAAGTGATCATTTTGTAATTTATAGATAGTTTTAGTGACAAAAATAAGAGTTCGTCGAAACTTTAGTGACCATGGAGTGTAGTTTGGCCGATAATGTAAATGGGTTGAAACTGACGCAACATTCCAGAGATAAATTTGTCACTTTGTATCTAAAAGATGATTACAGACAGGGCATATATGAATTTATGTTAAAGATGTTAAAGAGTGATAATTTTAAAATGCGAAGATAAATTTTTAATAAAAAATATAAAATTAGAAGGCGATCGCGCATGCTTAAATCCATCCCTGATTACAAAAATAGCGAGGAGATGAGATTTTATGTTAGTTTAGGTTACTGTGTCCTTCAGTCTAGGAGCCTCATCACCGGAACAAGCTTTAGAGACCTAAGGTATCCTAGAAAATTTTACTTTTTCCCTGGAAACTTTGCAATTTGCTCTGACCGCTTTGCCTAAGAAAACTCACATTGCAAGTCGAGTGAATGATTTAGAGTTTTTTTTTTTACCTCAAGATAATTAGAAAGAAATTCACTTAAAATAAAGGTTAAAATGAAAATTTATTATGGCACACGGATGAATAGTATAAAATTCTGTTTGAGTAGATTTCTTTCTATGTAAGTTTTATTTGTAAACAAGAAATTTATCCATATAAATAGATACTAGAGATTAGAATTTAGATATTAGTTGATTAAACTTTAAATCGTGTTTAAATGTACATTTTCTTGTACTCTTTTGACATACTAAATTTTCTCTTTTATTCGTGGGGTTTTCCCAAAAGGGTTATCCAAGTTAAATCTTGGTGTTCTTTAATTTGTGATTGTTTTACATTCATTATTATTGTGCTTTAATTATTACAAAAACATTAGTGTTTATTACAAAAAATGAATTATATAAAAAATAGGAAAAACAACTTGAAAATGGTGATATATAACAGGGGTAGAGAGAAATATGTTTTGCTGAATTGTATGAAAATAAGTGTTTATAGTTACTTTATATATATAAAAATAGGACAATCTCATAAATTATAAAAAATGATTATTAAATGGGTTTAATTTTCTATATGAAACTGCAGACAAAATTTTATTGTCAAATAAATAACTCCTTAGAAAATATCATTTTATTTTGTTTTAGAAGATCTCAAAAGAAAAGTATACTAATTTTTCTTTATAGATATACATAAACATGATACGTGTCAAAAATAGTCATGATCATAAATAATAGAAAAATTAATAACATAAGTATTAGTAAACATATCTATGACTAATACATAATAAAAATAAATAATTATTTTCTTAATAAATGAATGAATGTGAAACTTATTAAAATATGAATTAACTTAACTCATAACACACAACTAATTTTATTTATCTAATTAAAATTTATGATATGTCAACAACTTTAACCAGTATATTTCATGATGATGGTAATATAAAGCTCAATAAACCAATAAATACAGGTCTTCCACTCCATTCTTCTACCATCTCTTTTTCAATTATTATGTCCTTGGAAATTCTCAATGGACGTCTAGCATTCAGATAATAACTTACTGATTTTCAATAATAATTGCATGTTGATATCAAAATAAGGTTTTACAATATTTCTTAGTCTATCGATAATATTTATACACTCTACAAATATAATTGTTTAAACTCAAAACTTTTAAAAAGAATAATATTCTCGACAATTTTCAATAGATTTTAGTTTGAGATATATGAATTATCTTTATGGGACATATATGATAATTACAATTAAGAATGAAATTATAATATTTAAAAATTTAAAATAAAAAATCATAATTTGAAGACGTACAACTAATTTTATATTTCGCATTCAAAGGGTCTATAATATATCTCCCCGACTTTCCATTTCCAAAAATAGAAATCAACGATTTCCATTTTTTTAAGATTTACCGTATGACACAAATATTATTCAATGAACATCACATCTGAATGTGCTAATCTCAATCCAAATAATTTAAAAAAAAACAACTCTTTCAATCAAAAACTTAACAAAAAGGTAAATTGTGTATTTAGTAACTAAATTATCAGTTTTGATCCGTTTTAATATCTAAATTTTTAATTCTTTCAAAATCATACCTAAAATTTAGTTTTTATTTCATTTTAGTACATCGCTGCTAAATTTTGAAAAAAATGAAAGTCTAGGTACCAAAATACTTTTAGTACCTAAATCATACTTAAGTTTTGATTTTTTTTTTTAAATTTAGGTAATAAAATTAATATTTTAGGTACTAAAAACGTTAAGTTTTTAATGACGGTGTATTAAAATGAAACAAACAAAAATTTTACATCTAGTTTTGAAAAAATTAAAAGTTTAGATACTAAAATAAATCAAAACTGATAGTTTAGACACTAAATACGAAATTTACCCAAATCAATTAGCACACACAACTTAACATAACACCTTTTCTTCATATACACCAAAATAGCATAAAGCAAGAGTTAAATGGCTGTCCCTTTTTCCCATATATATGGGGTAAGGGGGAGGTAAGATAGTAGGCTACCCCCAACACCAGGTTGAGAGGAGCTTCCGTAAGAGACCTCCAAATTATGAAATGCCATCTGTGGGACTCGATCCCACGACCTCAAGGTTAAGAACCTTGTGCTCTACCAACTGAGCTGGATGGTCATTTCTAATTAGCTGACCCTTATCCCCATATGTAATGGGGTAAGGAGGAGGTAAGATAGTCTCCAACACCAGGTTGAGAACAGCTTCCGTAGGAGACCTCCGAATTATGAAATGCCCTCCATGGGACTCGATCCCACGACCCCAAAGTTAATAACCTTGTGCTCTACCAACTGAGCTGGATAGTCATTTCGGCGAAAAAAATTAAAATAATATTAAATTCTCATGTGTTATCCAATCTGTACAATTATTTATAATTATTGAAGCGAACAGAATTGACCAATATCAGCATGATATGGTTGCCATCATCTCGGCATTTTTCCCGATATATTATCTATGCCCTATATATTTTTCTGTCAGGCATCATTTAGACTATTTTTTTCGATATAACACCCTTTGTAGTAAGACGCACCCCTGTAGCGCATTTTACGATGATCTGACATCACGTGGGGTAAGGCGCGCCCCCTGCAGCGCGCCTTATGCTGACATGGACACACGTGTCTAAAGTGCCTGGGGTGCCTCTTACGCCACTAGGGCTATAGCGCGGGGCAAGGGCCGCGCTTTTCAATTATCACATGTTCAATTATCAGGCATGCACATAATTTACCCGGACCTCTCGGCTTTAAAGCATCATTTCTCGGCTATAAATAGCCCTATCCCCGTAAACTCTCTCACAATTCCCTCTCAACCGAGAATACAACAATCCTTTCAACCAGTAAATAACACCCGACAATCCTCTTATATTTGATTCAGAAGTTCGTTCGATCTTTCGTTATATGGTAATTTTCTTATAATATTTTTTTATTATACTTATTGTTTAATATGATTATTTGAAAAAATATTATAGTAATTATTTTCAATTAATTTATGTGTTAGTTCAAGGGGAAAGCGGGAGCATACGTCGAAATATTTTTGCGGTGCAGATAATAATATAAAATTATATTATTTAAAATTTTTACGTTTATGTGTAAAACTTTTATTGTGTTATATTTTCGTTCATATATTATTTATTTAATCAAGTTTGTTTAAGTTGTTTTTTTTTTGCATATATAATATTGTCGCACTTTTAAACTCTAAGAATGGCGCGACTTTTAGCTATTGTTTATTATGATGGAGAAATTCGAGAAGATGAAACCGGCGTTGTTTTCGTATCAAATGAGCGTGCTAAAATATCATTCAAGGGAAACATAACTCTTGAGGAGCTGATAACGAAGATTTCGAGGAAGGTTCGTGTTGGAAGTAGTAGAAGAATGTCGTCGTTGCAGTACAGATTTCCAACATCATTGTTGCCATTAACTTATACATCGTTCGAACTATCGAACAATGATGATGTTGAAATGATGGCTGATTCTCAAAGTAATTATTCAAACGAGATATTGAGATGTATGCAAAGTTTGTTCAAGTGCATGTTGTTTTAGGTCAAACATTAAGCTCCTACTATGTGGCTAAATAAGTTGACAACCCAACTACAATAATGTGTAATGATTTTAACGCCATAATGGGAAATCCGAATCATGGTGCTGTCACATCAAATTCAATGGGGAGACATTCATCTGTAACTCTTTACGATATATACCGAGGTGGGTCCACGAATAATCCGTATGGCAACATCGCGTCCAGTTCAAGGGGAAGGCATTCATCTGTAAATTTTTTTGACTTTAACATGGAGATGCCATCAACGCAACAATCTGTACAGTTTCTATTTGACAAGATGGCTTCAAGCTCCAAGGGGAGGCATTCCACTACGAGCTTTTTTGATCTCAATGTCGATATGCCTTCTAGTTCAAGGGGAAGACGTACAAGTAGTAGGTTCTTCGACCTAAATGTGGAGAGCTTGGAGGAACCATCATCTCCACCAGAAGAACCGCTTCATGAGCATGGTGCGGATGGTGCTGAGACTGGACTATTCAGTCACCCAGAATCATTGCAATTCAAGTCCGATGATGATGATAATGTAGATGAAGTTCCATTAAATATGGCACAAACTGACCCTCCAGAACACATGTATGAAGCTGATTATAGTGTAATGTACGGGCTAGAATTTACGGATATACCTCATCTTGGTAACTATGGATATTACTCATCAATAAATAATCTTGAGTTATCTTTAGGCATGGAGTTTTCAAGCAAAGAAGAAGCGATGATGGCTATAAAAATTACAATATCCGTAATTATGTTCAATCGAGAGTCGACCGCTCCACGATAGAAAAATATGTATGCTACTGTGCCCGACGCGAAAACGGATACAATTGGATGGTTCGCGTATCGAAGAGGAAGAGGAAAAACAACAGATGAGAACTAACATTATACAACGATCCTCACACATGTTATGCTGGAGGGGTCAACCAAGATCATCCCAACTTGGACTCTGAAGTGATATGCCAAGCCATAATGCCCATGGTAAAAGCAAGCTCTCATATAGCTGTTGTTGTGTTGATTTCAACTATACAATCGCAGTATGGATACACTGTCTCCTATAAAAAAGCTTGGTTGGCAAAACAAAATGCCATTGTCAAACTTCATGGCGAATGGGATGCATCTTACAACGAACTTCCAGGCTGGTACGGAGATTGAATCCTGGGATAATTGTGGACTTCGAAACCTCCTATGCATACCATAATGATCGATTTCTTCGCGATCGATGCCAATTCTACCGGGTTTTTTGGACTTACCCACAGTGTGTTAATGCTTTCAAATATTGTAAGCCTGTGGTCCAGATCGACGAGACTTTCTTGTATGGAAAATACAAGCAAGTTTATTATTGACAGTTGTCCAAGATGTCAATCGCAACATTCTTCCATTTGCTTTTACTCTTTTTGAAGGAGAAGATACAAATTCTTGGATTTTTTTCCTCCGAAACTTACGTGCACATGTTATCACAAGGGAAAAAATCTGTGTCATTTCAGATCGCGGAGCTGGGATCAAAGCAGCAATGGAGTCTTTGGGTCCAATGTGGCAACCACCCTTTGTCCAACATAGGTATTGTCTCTGACACATTGCTGCGAACTATCCTGAAAGATACAAGAATAATGATGAGTGTCAATTAATTGTGCGCATGGGTAAGTGAAACTGATTTAGTTTGTTTTCTTTCGATCATTTTAATTTTGCAAAGAAAGCAAGTTAGTAAGTTATATATTTTTTGATCAGGTTACGAACTACTTCCTCAAACGTTTGAAGCAATGCTTCAAGATTTGCGGGCGAAAAAACAAGAAAGGATACGATTACATCAGCCTCATCGATAAAGAAATGTAGACGAACGCATATGATGGTGGATATCGATACGGACACATGACGACCAACTTGGCTGAGGCAATCAATTCAACCTTAAAGGGTGCACGTCACTTACCTGTAGCGGCTTTGGTAAAAACTATATATTTTCATTTGGGGGTGCTTTTTGCGAAGCTCGGGGGACAAGCTCAAACCTGGATGCAAGAAAGTCATGTCTATCACCCTAGATTAGTTGCAGATCTACAAAAAAAATTGATGCATCAAATGGAATGTCTGTAACAAACTTCTCTAGAAGACATGAAATATTTCATGTCACAGAGTTTTCGCGACCTCTTCAAGGGATTGAATATGTGTCGTTAAGAGTAAATTTACGAGAAAGAACGTGCAACTGCAGGTTTTTTCAAGCTCTGAAGTATCTATACTCTCATGTGATAGCAGCTTGCTCGCATACACGTCAAGACTATAACTGTTTTGTGGATCCTATATACCTACTATCTGAAGTTTTTAAGGTATACAAATTTGAGTTCCCCTATAGGTAATGATAAAGACCGTGATGAGGTTCAGGATTAGCTTCCGATTGTATCAAATCCAACTTTATTGAGGGAGCGTGGTCATCCAAAATCCAATCGAATTCATTGTGATATGGATATTCGAGAAATATCTAGACAAGACAGAAGATGTGGCCATTGTAGAAACCTAGGACACACTAGAAAAACATGTCCACTTCTGCTGTTATCAAGTAACAATTGATGAGGAACTGATGTAGTTGTTTATCAAATAAGAATTCTTGTACTTTAATTTGCATTTACTTCAATTTAATGTCATTCGATAACCACTGATGAAGATTAAAAAAACGATACCAAAATATGAGATTAGATGTTGGCGTTATATGTGATTATAATAAAAGAGATAATAAGTGACAAACTGAAGAAAGTTATCGAACACAATTATTAAATTTTATCAAACTAATAACAATTTGGTATTTGAATATAATTTAAATACAACAAACTTACAATAAGTATTAAATGGTAAATGATAAACAAATTACAATAACTTATATTAAATGGTAATAAACAAAATTAACCAAAATACATTAACAAAAAGTCCAACAAATTTAACAAAATAAATTAAAATAAATCCAACCAAATTAATGAAATAAAGTAAGTATTAAATGATAAATAATAAAAAAATTACAATAAAAAAGGTCTAATAAATAACTAAATATAAATATAATAAAAAAACAAAATCTATCGATGTCTGCGACGCGAATGTGTTCCGTAGGGCGGTGGCTGTTAATCTCGAGGAGGATTTCTTCGTATCACTGGTTGTGACTCCTCGCTGTCATCATCATCACCATCATCATCGTCGTCATCGTGAGCAGCTATATTAGGTTGATGAGGAGCTGATGACGATGAAACACCTCCATAATAAAGACCCTGGAGGTGTATGACTGACTATCCCACCGGCCTGTGAAAACTGGGAAAACTCATAAAACCCAGACATCGCTGAGTGTGAAAACTGTACAGGAGGTGTCTGTGCTACGGCTATGGGTGATGAGGCTGAACCCGCCAAAATGTGGGCATATGAACCTCAAGTCAGATCTGCAAACATAGACTCATAATATCCTCCAGGAGGGGTCATAAAACTCTGTGATGGTGGCGGCGCCGGGGTCATAAAACCAGGTGACGGTGGCGGCGGTAACATCGGGTAAGGGAACGGCAGTGGCGACATCACATATGGCTGCGGTATGTAAGTCGTTATAGACGGTGGCGGCTGTGAAGGTCTTGCTGGTGCAGCTGAGGATGAACCGGAAGCACATGCAATCCATCCACAATTCGGGGGACGATGGTGCTATGTCGATGAACGTCTTTGTCGACGTTGTTGAAAGGTCCTCCCTCGTGCATCCTCGGAAAGCAAAAACAATTTCCTGTTACTGTTGAACCACTCATAATAACCGTCAGCAACCATTAAGAGTCAGTAAAAATGGGCGCTCTACGGGGAAGGCGCCGATATCGATCTTCCCACAACACGACCTACTCATGATGCCTCACCAGCCAATTTGTATCGGTCTTACCGCGTCTATCTATGATATGCAACTCATCCATATTGCGAGGTGCTTCTGGAATTGGTTGAAAACAACCAAATTGCCGGAGCACGTGATCAGTGGAGTGCCACTCGACGATCGCATAACAGATCAAAGGGACCATCGCCATCCAAACATCTAATGGGCCCCTCAACTTAGGTGGGATCACCATCTTCACATCATCATTAAAATATGGCACCCATTCAAACTAAAACAAATATATATAATTTTTTATCAAAATAATAATCTAATTATACAACTATAATCTAAAATCGGTTTTTAAACATTAAAATGCGTACTTGTGTGTCAGCCTTCTCATAGATTAGCACCCTAATTTTTTCTAAATCATCAGGTAGCTCATGATGATTTTTCCTATCAGTAGACCACCTATTCAAGGAAAATAAAATTTATTATACACTATATAAAATGATTAATATATGGAATCAGTTTTATAATTACTTCAATAGTAGCGGAAATATGAATGGGTTCTTGACAATGGGACATAGAAAGGGCAGTCGATACCACGGCCAATACTGCAGCAGCAGGAGATATCCGCTGATAGCATTTTTTCTATAGTCAGTGGCTCGACACATCTCCCTGTATAGGAAAGCCAAAACTACCGAGCTCCAACTGAGTGACCCGGCCAGACAAAAGTCGCCAAGATGTCGCAATCATATACAGTGAACTTGGTTGCGTGATTTGTCCTGCATCAGCAACCCTCCTATCAGCTGCAGTATGCATGCCCGTGCATACATTTTAACTTCATCATCAGAGGCGCCCTCGCTCAACTCCCAAAAATTGGCATATAACCAATTTAACGGTATCCGACCACCGTTAAAACTTTCCGGGACACGTCATAGATAGTCCCGGCACAAAGCAGTCCATGAACCGTGCGCCATCCTCGATATCATATCTCCATCCACCGGAAGCCCCAGGTGCATAGAAACATCCTCAAGTTAATCGTGCACTCTCCGCACGGAAGATGAAATGTGTGGGTCTCCGGCCTCTACCGCTCCACTAAGGCAGCAATAAGGTCTAGTTCTATCTTACAGTGACCCTCATATATACCTATATGACCGGATACAACCTCTACTAAATACGGCAAGACAAAGCTAGGTATCACTAACTTAAGGTTCCTAATAAAAGGATCTAATACACGGTCCCTCTCCTAAAATTAAATAATTACAAAAATTAAATTTTTAACTAATAATCATGCATTAAATAAATAAATAAATTATTACAAATAATTTAAATTATATTAAAACGTTAAAATGTTACCGTATCAGCAAAATATCGCGATATATGATTTTCATCCAAGCGAAGTAGACCTCATTCCATTTTATATCTACAAAAAAAATTTATTAAATAAAATATTAAAAAAATTAAATACTTAAATAAATTAAAAACAAAATATTAAATATAATAAAATATACCTTAAACAGTTAAAATAGAATATAAGAGTATTAGAGAGAAGTTGATAGGATTTGATGTGATGAAAGTGATTGAAAATGGGGGTATTTATAGGGAGGGGGTGGGGTGTGAACGGTCGGGGTAGGTGGTTAATTAAACCTAAGGTGCGCCGCAGGGGCGCCTTTCTGACGTGCGTCAGATTTAAAGGTAAAGCGCGACCCCTACCTCGCGCTATATCCTACGTGATGTCAGATCAACATAAAACGCTCTACAGGACGCGCGCTTTATTACAAAGGGTGTTAGATCGAAAAAAATAATCTGAAAGGTATCCAATAAAAAAATATATAGGATATAAGTGATATTACGAGAAAAACGCCCATCATCTCTTAGTATTAAATTGAGAATGTGTATTTTAAAATACATTTTGATCAAAATATATTTATTTAGCATAAAATATACAGTGGGACATTACATGGTGATTTAGAGTTGACAATATTGATGTTAATGGCATCCAAATGCTCGGTTACGAGATTATCCACGTGTAATTGTTGTAAATTTTATATCACAAAACCCAAGGCCATAAGCTTTTCATTTTTGGAAAAACTAAAAAGTAACATTTCCCATTGTTGTACTATAAATGATATTTATAAAATTTGGATAAATAGATAATTCAACTATAGATTTAATTGAATATATGAACAAGTATATTTAAATCCATCAATTGATTTTAATAATTAAAATGAATATTATTCGAGTTTGAATAATAATATTTGTAGACGTGTGTACGTTATTAATTGATAAAAAAATATCTGAATAAATATTATCTTATAATATTTCTACGTATAGAAAATATGAGGAGTATATAGTTTTATATCTAATTTATTACACATGAAAGAAGGCTTGGGTTTCTGAAGAAAAAATAGTTTTATCTGCAACAATGTAAAATTAAGATTAGAACCCTAGAAAGAAAACATGGATTTTATATGCCTTCTCACATGCAATTTTAATATCAAACGATTCCCAATCAGATGTGTTGTTTAAAGAAGGCCAGAAGATTAGTCCATATATATATATATATACTGATTAGTGAAGAGTTGCTTGTAAGTCGGATAATGGAAGGCGTTGAAGGATAGTACTAAATTGTGGTTGCAGTTGTCGTTGTAGATGCAGTTTGCGCCTTTGCGGTGTCACGATGACATTGAAAAATATTTCGATTGATGAGAGCAAGGCGAGGGCAGCTACAATGTGATGAAACTTGATGATTGTTTGTAAAGAAAGGGAAGTATCGACAGATAAGGAAATTGGGTCATCTTCAGTGTTATGTTTATGGTTACTTTCCTTCTTTAAACCACCTTCACATGAAAAGATCAGACCAAACTTACGTACAAGAAGAGAGGTTTGGTAAAAGAAATCATTGAGTAATCCTCAACTGAGAGAAATAGACATGTCTATGACTTGAGTTCCATTGTCCCAAGAAGAAGAGAGGGTCTGTTGGTTTCTCATAAATGGGCAAACAGATAACAGTGGAGGGAGGAGAGTTCAGAGTTGCATCAGCTGTGTGTACTTTGGAGATATTTGTTTGATACAGCAACGTGTGAGAAAAGATTTACCATGATTTCATTTCATCTTCTTCAAGGAATAAAGCAATTTACAGGGAAAAAGGTACTAAAACTGAAAACCATGCTGCCAACAAAATGGCATCCATAAACCTGAAAAGAAGACACTGCTGGTACTGGATAACACCTTATAAACATTTACTAACTACCAACACAGAAAAGGTTCATCTTTTTTGTTGGTAGATGGGTGTTTTTTAACACATGACATCCTTGAGAAGCTTGTACCTGCGTGTCGTTGGCCTAGGAGAAGGAGTGCCACTGCTCTTCCCTTTATGATCCTCACCACTCTCGTCTCGATCTTGTTGCTTGATTTTGTCACCCGAATACTCCGATCGCTTTACAATCATTCCAGTTCCGTTCCCACCCGATGGTTTCTTCGAAGAACTTCCGTGCCTCGTGTTTGTTTCTTCGCTTTGGCACCAATCACACAGTTCAATCGGCTCCGCCAACTCGCTGTAATAGTTACTGCAATACCTGCCGGGATCAATAAAGAAGATGATTATAGCATGATGATAATAGCTTTCATGTCATGCCCCGTGATGATGATGATGCTTGGGAAGGAGATAACTAAGAGAAGATAAGAAGACATACGAGTGTTGAAAGCGGTGGTGGCATTTGTTGCAGCGGAAGAGTTTGTCGGGGAAACCAACGTCGCCGCACAAGCAGCAGACAGTTTGAAGATCCATCATAACTGAAGAAGACGAAGAAGATTTGATAGAGGAGATTAAAAAAGAGAGAGCAAGATAACTACAAATACAAGAGAGCCATATAAAGAAAGAGGATGGTTTCAGAATCAGAGTCGGTTTACAAATCCCATACATGAACTTGTTTAAGCTTTTATATGGAAAAGAGAAATGAACTTTTTATAAATCCATAGGTAGACCACAGGTTGCTTGCAGTCGTTTTCAGTTACAGTCAGAGGGAGAGAAAAAATATGAACCTTAAAATTTATGTCTACAAAATGACGGTTTTGTCCTCTAAAGAGTTTTTTATTATTATTTTAGATAAATAAAATATAGTATCTGTTTAAAGATAATTCTCAATTATTTAATATTAAACGTTCAGACATCTAAAATTCATGATACTCGAATTTGAGACTTCAAAGAACAATAATAATTTCTTTATCATCGAAATTATTTGATTTATATCTAAGCTAAAGAGTTAAGAGAAGATTTGGGGCGTTTTCAACCTTTGAAGAGTTAGAATTTGGATTTTTAAAAAATAAAAAAACCTTAAAAATGTAATTAAAAAGTAATAAAATTAAGATATTTATATATATATAAAAGGTGTGTAGTAAATAATTATTTGACTAAGAATATTTTAAACAAATATTTTTTATAATAATTTAAAATTAATTAAAAAAATCTTAAGTTGAGCTAATTAAATTTTAGGGTAAAGTACATAAATGGTTCTATGAGTATATGCCTTGTTTTGTTGAGTTCTAGATTATTAAAAGTTATAAAATAACCACTAGACTATCATGTGGTCTAAACTCGTTTTTCTATTAAAAGATTGACATCAGTCTAAACTAGACGTTAACATATTGATTGTGATATGATAAAAATATATTTTAATGATACTTATAGACACCACCATTGTTTTTAAGTATTGACTCAATGACATAATATTTTAAGCACTAGCTTAACAACATAACGTAAACTGAGTATCAATCCATAAAATTCATCTTAAACAATTCTAAAATAAGATTTTATCATATCATAGTAGGTTAACATTCATCTCAAACGATCATAAATTTTTTAATAAAAAATAATAAATTTAAAACATGTAAATATTTATGTGATTATTTTATAGCATTTGCTGGAAATGGTGAGAGCGAAGAGAAAGTTTTGGTCAATTGGTTCAGCTTCTTTCTTGGTTGGAAGGGTAAACAAGAGTAATTAAATGAACTCCACAGGGGTAATTAGGGAACTTGAAAACCTCTCAAGTACACTACTATTGTTTATCAACCTTTAAATAAAGTCCACAACACCATGATCTGTAATTGTAAAGGCAGTCCCACCTTCGGATATTCTCACCATGCTCCGCACCTCTACCAACACCACCATATCATAGCCGTCGATAGATATTAAACAGATGATCGATCATCAAAAAGTTCTAAATTTCATCTGGATCAAAATCCAACGGTGAGAAAACGAATAGAAATGGTAGGGGTCAGAACACGGAATATGGCGATGAAGGTGATAAGCATCACGTGGGGGCCAAAGGGTGCTTTTTGTTTAAAGAAATTGACATGAGCCAAGAAAGCAGCCAATGTGTCGGGCCTCCAAATTCCTCAGCTGTCTTTTATTATTATTATTATTATTATTATTATTATTATTATTATTATTATTATTATTATTATTATTATTATTATTATTATTATTAATACGAGTAAGATCATGACGAAATTTATTTAAAGATAATTTTTAGTTATGTGATATTGAACGTTTATATTTTTAATATTTTTGAAGTTTGAATTTTATATTTAAATAAATAATAACGATTTCTTTACTATCATCGTTTGATTCGTGCAATAATATATTTTTTCACACATAAATCATAAATAAAAGGAAAATTTGTTTGAATTATTAACTAGTATTTTTGAAGTTCGAATTTTATATTTAAATAAATAATAACGACTTCTTTACTACTATCGTTTTATTCGTGCAATAGTATATTTTTTCACACTTAAATCATAAATAAAAAGATAATTTTTTTGAATTATTAACTAGTACAACAAAATTTTGGTGGACGAAATGATTTTGTAATTGATTATGTCCATTTTGAATTCGCACATAGTTCTGTTGGTCTTTTGTCAACGAATAATTTATGTTGAATTTAATGCAAAATGTAGGACCAAATCTTAAGTTTTCTCACCCCCGCACTTTGGCTCTTTTTATTTAACTTGACAATGAGATTGTACGAAAGTGATTTTATAACTTAAGGGATTATTGTTATTTTTTAAATATTTAAATTTAAATACTATGTATGTAGAAATATATGAACATTCATTATTAAATGATAAATAATCTTTGCATAAATATTACATGTCTGGTTTAAAACTTCCATGGGTAAGAATTAATTTTTTTAGTGAAAAAGTAAATATATTTGTTAATTTAATTAATTAAACATACAAATTTGTGGTTGAGCTATTGATTTCGTGTTATTAACTAGAAGAGTTATTGTAATGTTAAACTAACTGTTGTTCAGAGGGAATTTTAAGTTATTATATTTATAAATACTATAGATACTTTTTTTAATACACTAAAGTGATTATAAGATAATATACGTTTATAATCTTTCTTAGCAACTGACAACTTAAAGAACAGTCTGGCCATTGTAGACTTCCTTCAACACCTTGATTAAACTCTGCCTGAGCAAATTACAAAAGAAAAAAAAAACTAAGGTTCTGAAAAGAGAGAATATTGAGTTTTTAAAGAAATAGAAATGTAGGCAAAAACTCAAAGAGTCAATGGAGGTCTTAATCTTTTTTTATAGGCCAATGTTTTAACTGATTGGTAATCAACTTGAACCAATCCGTTAGAGTCAATTAATTGATTATCAAAACGGTCCAACAACCTACTACCAACAAACAATCCTAACCGCTTAACAACCAAGGAACTTCAAGCAGCTGGAATACCAGCAGATTGCAATGTTCAACATTTCCCCTACTCCTTCTCAAACTAGTTTTGATCCAGACAACACACTTCCTATTCCTCCTTTTTTTAGCCAAAGTCTGAACTTGTTCAGTAGTGACCACACCCAACTTTTGTCGAAACAAACCAAAACTAAATTTAGACAAGGCTTTGCCAATCCATCAGCAGCTTGATGTGATGCTAGAACATAGTTAACTTGTAGCTTTCCTTCAACCACCCTTTCATGAACAAAGTGATACATGACAACGCGAGTGATACATGAGATTAGTTGACATGACAACCAAACCAGTGTTATCGCTCCACACAACTAGAGCTTTACTCGACTGACACCCATACCTTTCAATACTACTTCGGTTTATATTACTACATATACCAAGTCTTTTATACTCCTATATTCAGCTTCTGATACATGCATCACAAGGCTCACATCAAAGGAAGAAATAATAACTCTTCCAAATGATCTATTCGTCCAAGCATTGGAAAAGAAGATCATAACAGAAGCAGATTTACTACGACTTTTTGAATGGGATCCTGATATTATTTAGTCAATATGTCTTCTGGAGATACGACCGTCTTTCTCTTATATTTCCAACGGTTCTTGAATCGCATCAATCCGATATCGGAAACTCAAGATATGAATATTTTACTGAAGACGATGCATGCAGAAAATCCTATACGGGATTAATACGGGATTTTGTAAATATTACGAATTTTCAATATTTTTATTGATTATTTGTAATATAACTTAATATAGGATGATGCATTATCTTTTAGGATTAGATTTATTATTTTATTAGGAATTAAGGTTAGGTTAAAAGTATTATCTTTAGTTATTATTATTTTATTAAGAATTAGAGTTAATATATGTTTAGTTTATTATTATTTTATTCATTAGTTATTTAGGACCTTTAGAACTCAGCCCCTATATAAAGGAGGCTTCATTAAACTTTGTAATTCAAGATTTCTTTGATTAATAATACAACGAGAGTTCGTTTTTGCAAGTGCTGATTGCCTTGTGCCTTCGAAGCTTCTTCTCCTGGAGTTCTTTCAAGTTCTTGTGAGGGAGATTAATCTTCACACTCCAATTTTCCTTTTCATCGCGACTAGGAGGGTTGGTTAGAGCCATTTATCGAGTTTACCTTTTCATTGCGACTAGGAGGGTTTGATAAGACACTAATCCATCTATTTTTCCACAAATCCATCTGCACCATCAATCATCTTTACCGTCCACCTTCGTAAGGAAGATCTTTTGATTTCTTTATTATCTTATCTTATTTTATTTTCAATTTCTTTATCTTTTGTTTATTTTGTTCTAATCTTATTGCCTTGAAGAAACCCTAAAGAATCCTAGTTACTACCGCCACCTTCCCCTATTCATCCCCTTTGTTCTTAATCGAGTCTAGAGCTTTCTAGGTTTGATTCTTCAACAAGAGCAACGTTCATTAACTCGCCACTGCTTCTCTATCAATTGGTATCAGATTTGAGCCGATTCTTGGAAAGAAGCAATCAATCTTGATTGTTCTTGCACACAAAACCGTCAAGGTATCCCAACGGAGCTAGTCCAGAAAAGATTCATCGTTTCAGGGTTTTTTTTTTATTTAATTTTAATTTAGATTCAAATCCTTCTTGTTAGTTTTCTATTTTTTAAAAAAAAAACACACAAAAAAGGCAAAAAAACAACAAAAAACAAAAAAAACAAAATTTCAAAAAAAAATTGCAAACGAATGTATTTAGGGCTGATTTTCTCCAGATATCATATTCATCTTAAGTTTAATCTCCAGTCCAAAATTCACTTTGACCAGAGTTCATTAGATTCTTCAAATACATCATTCAAGTTTTATCGGCAGATTCAGTCTAGAATATTGTCAAATTTATTGAAAATTTTACAGGAGGAATTTTGTGGTGAAAATTTCCATATTGAAACTCCATATATTGGATATAATTCACACAAAAAATCAGAATTTTTGGAGATAAAGAACAACTTCGAACAAAGCGATCAAGAAAAATAGATTGTTTGAGGACTCACCGTTCAACAGAGTCTACTGGATACTACTGAAGGTATTTGGTTCTGAAATTTTATAGGTGGTTTCTTGACGCATTGAAAGACATTCAAGAATTTTTCCAGAATTTTTGGATACCGGTAACA